CTTTTCGTTTATTTATCACTTGATGGACATTTGGGCTTTTTCCACATTTTGGCTATTAATAATGCTACTATGGACATTTGTGTGCAAGTTTTTGTGTGGACATTCATTTCATTTCTCAAATATATACCTAAGACTAATGTTAAGTGTAGACTTGCTAGGTCACATGGTTACTCTATGTCCTTTAAAATTAATTAATTAATTTGTTTTTTTTTCAAGGCAGAGTCTTGCTCTGTCACCCTACATAGAGTGCAGTGGCATCATCATAGGTCACTGCAGTCTCAAACTCCTGAGCTTGAGTGATCCTCCTACTTCAACCTACTGCGAAGCTGTGACTGCAGGCGTGTGCCACTGTGCCCAGCTAATTTTTCTATTTTTTGTAGAGATGGGGGTCTCGCTCTTGCTCAGGCTACTGTAACTACTGAGCTCAAGTGATCTCCCCACCTTGGCCTCTCAGAGTGCTAGGATTACAGGTGTGAGCCAGTGAGCCACCACGCCTGGCCCGATTTAATTTAACTTTGTATTATTCATCACGGTTTACAAAATTCTTTTACGTGAGCGATTTCATAAGTTACCCACAATAACCACGTAAGGGAGATACGGTAAGTATCTCAGTTCAGGTCCTCTAAGAAGTAGACACTCAGATGGGGTTAGGGGTACCAGAGGTTTATTGAGGTGTGTAGTATGCCTGTGATAGATTAAGGGGGAGGGAGCAGGATTGGGGGCAGGGAGAGCCTCAGACAACAAGGCAGATCTGATAGTCTTAGCCAATCTTACGGAAAAATCTGAAGCAAGGATTCCCTGGTGGAGGAGGCCTCTTTGGACAGAAATTGCGAGGCCCTATGCCCACATGCTTAGTCATTAGCTGGGGCACTCCAGGGAACAGTAGGGTTAAGGTGGATCCTGGAGGGTCTGTCAGCTAATTACATTCTTTGTAGCTGAATGGCAAGCTCTTGAAGAGAAATCTAAGGAGCCCCTTCATGGCTGCCATGGTATCCTCCTTCTTATTTTTCAGATGAGGAATCTAAGGTTGACTAGGTAAAAAAAATAGACCAGTAAACAGTGAAGCCAGGACTCCGACCTCATCTTTTCACCATTATCTTGTTCTTTCTATTATACCAAGTTGCATTCAACAGTTTTTAATGAATGTCTCCCATATGAAAGTTCCTTGAGTCAGTGTGTTTAGAAATGCATGAGACCATGTTTAGTAGAGGAGAAAAGAACTGTTCTGGATAAATATAATGTAAGACAGGAAGTAGTTAGGTGCTGGGGTAGGAAATACATACAGAGTGATACGGGCCATCAAATCCCATCCTCCTGAGGGCTCTGAGAGAAAAAGCTTCATGGACAACCAATGGGCTCATGCCTATAATCCTAGCACTTTGGGAGGCTGAGGTGAGAGGATTGCTTGAGGCCAGGAGTTCAAGACCAGCTAGCCGTGGCAACATAGGGAGGCCCTGTCTCTACAAAAGAAATTGTATTTTAATTAGCCAGGTGTGGTGGTACATGACTGTAGTACCATCTACTTGGGAGGTTAAAACGGGAGGATTGCTTGAGCCCAGGAGTTCAAGGTTACATTGAGCTGTGATCACACCACTGCACTTCAGCAAGGCCTCTGTCTCTAAAAAAGAAACAAAAAAGCAAGCTTCATGGGGTGGCATTTCAGCTCGATCTTGAAGGTCAGATAGGCTTAGAACTTCTAGAGATAAGGGAGGGTAGACCTTCCAAATTGAGGAAATAAATAAACTGAGCAAAGGTTTGGAGACCTTCAGGAGCTCTATGTTTTTGAACATGTATGTTTGTGTTCCTGGGTAGGGAGTCTAACAGCCAGAGGAGGCAACCAAACCATAGATCTGACAGAAAGTGGTGGGTTGGATGGATATATGTGATATAGATATAATACAAATAATTAGATTATAAGCAATCAAGGAGAGGAAGATGTGGCCAGAAAGACTGGGTGAGTAGCTTTTGTTAACTGAATGAAAGAATGTGAAAGGTCTAAGTTTTCTGTCCATGGCTGATACATATATATATATATGTATCTATATATACATTTATTTTCAGAGACAGGGTCTCCCTCAGTCACCCATGCTGGAGTGTAGTGGTGCGATCATAATTCACTACAGTTCTGAACTCCTGGGCTCAAGCGATCCTCCTGCCTCAGCCTTCTGAGTAACTGGGACTCACGTTTGGCTGTTTTTTAAATTTTTTATAGAGATAGGGTCTCTATGTTGCCCAGGCTGGTCTCAAACTCCTGGGCTCAAGTGGCTCAAGTGATCTTCCTGCCTCAGCCGCCCAAAGTGCTGGGATTATAGACATGAACCAACGCATGGCTGATTTTTTTTTTTTTTTTTGGTTTTTGAGACAGCGTCTCACTCTGTCACCCAGGCTGGAGTGTAGTGGCGTCATCATAGCTCACTGCAACCTCAAACTCCTGGGCTCAAGGGATCCTCCTTGAGCCTCCCACGTAGCTCAGACTACGAAAGCGCACCAAGACGTCTGGCTAATTTTTCTTTGCTATTTTTTATAGAGACAGGGTCTTGCTCTTGCAAGAGCAACTCCTGACCTTAAGCAATCCTCCCAACTCAGCCTCCCAAAGTGCCAGGATTACAGACGTGAGCCACCATGCCAGCCTGTGGCTGATTTTTTGATAATGTGTTTCTACCAACTAGAGCTGGAATCCCTGTCGAAAGCTCTTTTATTCCAGTTCCAATGAATGTAGGCCCAAGGCCATGGGCTTGCCTCGCGGCCTTTGGCCTAGGAGCATTATAATAGGTTGTCTGACCCATTTCTTCCTTTTCTTTGCCTGTTGCTCCACAGCCTGGTTTTGTCAAAACTGCAGATTAGCCTGGGTCTCTTACGTAACATCTCCCTGTAACGTCTCCCCTTCTAGCATCTGCCAGCACTGCTGCTTCCTTATCTTTGTTCTCCCCCTCTTATTTTGGTAGCCAGGAGTGATGGCTGTTACTGTCTTCATTATTTTTGCCTTTTAGGTAAAGTGATGTGTAGAAAGCAGAGGTTTGAGTGCTCTGCTGGGGCCGTTTTTACAAATACTGAGTCCTTGCTTAGAATTTTTTTTTCTTTTTTTTTTGTATTTTTATTTTTTTGTTTTTATTTCACCATGACATCCTACCATTGATCTTGATTAGAACTGGTCTGCCGTGGAGGAGCCAAGGTAAAGGGGCAGGGTGGCCTGGAGGACTGTGTGAGGTTATCTGTCTGGGAGCCTTCCCAGATATGGCTTTGTCTCTGCTATTAGAATACTTCCTCATTTCACAGCTTTTAGTGCCAAAGTGTGATGCTCTGTCTCATTTCAAAGGCGATATATTGATTCAGCATGTTTATTGCTCTGCTGTCTGTTTTTGTCATATTGCTCTGCTGTCTGTTTTTGTCAGCTTTCGAGGCTGCTACTTGGAAACAGCAGACAGGGAAGCCCCTTCAGTCTCGGTGTGTGTGCATGTGTGAGTATGTGCACACAACAGTGGTCTCTCTGGAAAAGCTGGATGTATCTTTGAGGAGAGTCAGGGATGTCACATACTGAACTTACCTCACTGGAGCCAGGTTTCAGGATCTGTAGGTCCTGGAGAAAGGATGGCTACAGGAGGTCTCCTTTTAGTTCTGGTCACTCAAGAGTGTTTTCGTGGCTTACTGTGTTGCTGGGCTGAGCAGTCAGAAAGTAGGTTGGCACTGGGGTGGGAGCTAGGGGGTGGCAGGCAACCTGAAGAAATAGACCAGTTACATAAATGCAAGGAGATAACATCAAGCATTAAACCTTAGTCCTTTGGAAACTCACTGTCTATTTCCTGTGGAGGAACAGGGGTGGAGTCAGGGTCTTAGAGGTAGGTATGGGAGCCAGGAGAGGTGTTTTTAGAGGATGCTGCCAAGGGGAGACAGCAGTGTGGCCGAAGGTGCCAAGATATAGAATAGATGGATATTCCCGATTTTACACAGGAGCAGGGTAAAGAATGTAACGTGTGTCTGTGTCTGTGTCACTAGTGTCAGGTTCTGAGACATCTAGAATCGTAGATCTATGCCTACTTGATTATCCTACAAGGGTTAGGGACCTTAATTAAAAGGGACATACTTCAGAAAAGGGAGATGATTCTTCTGGGGAGAATGACAGGGAGTTTGCCGGTTCCTCTTCACACCTTTTCCCCATCAATTCTGTTAGGTGCTGACTTCTGCTGAGATTACCAAGGTTTAAGAATAACTTTGGGGAGGAGAGTGAAGGAGCTCTCTCCACACATCTCCAATGCCCCAGAAACCTCAGGGCTCCTAGGATATATCAGATCCTAAGTAGAATCTCTGTATGGTCAGTGCTGAGTTTTCTTAATTCCTTTGGTATATCAGAGCTGTCCCTATGTGGAAGCACTCCAGAAGGTAGAGGGGGACTGCGTTTTAAGGTTTTGTTTTTTTTTTCTAATATGACAGATAGAATGATAGAATGATAAAGTATTCTAATAGCAGAGACAAAGCCATATCTGGGAAGGCTCCCAGACAGATAACCTCACACAGTCCTCCAGGCCACCCTGCCCCTTTACCTTGGCTCCTCCACAGCAGACCAGTTCTAAGCAAGGTCAATGGTAGGATGTCATGATGAAATAAAAACAAAGGCTGCAGAGCTCTCTAAGGGTGAAAGTCTCATAGTTAATACCCTTCTCTAACCAACCTTTTTTTCTACTCCGTTATCTTAACTCCGAAACAGATTGTTTCTACAGTTTCAGACCCAGGTTAGAGTATGGGGCAGGTACTTAATTCATAGGATGGAGACACTTTGATTTTCATCAGGTAGAAGGCACAACTTAAAATGTTCCCTGGGACTGGTAGTAGCAATTTGGGTTCTGACAAAAGTGAAGCAGTTGAGGATCTTGTTCAGAATATTCTGAGTGTTAGGGCCTTGTCCTGTTCCTTGTCTTTTTCAGGGAGAGGACTCTACATTTGCTATTTTTCCCTGTCTCTGCAGGCCTCACCATTCTGTCTCCTCTGTCTCCACCCTCCTTCTCTCTGTTGGCTGGTCCACTGATGTATGGATTTGTACATGATGAACTGTGAACTTCTAGCCACATGCAGTGCCCTTGGGTACTTGGAGGGAGACACTTACCACAAGGAACCAGATTGCTTAGGTGAGTACCCTTTTGAGGAAATAGGTAAAAAGTTGCTTAAATTGAAGAGATCTGTTGAATTTTTCAATCCATGGGTGTGAAAAGCACATGGGCCTGGGTGGAGCTTCTTCTAGGGTTCCACGTACATGTTTTGTTCTGTCTCTGAAGAGAGTGTGAAGGATTTGATCCGTTACTTGAGGCATGAGGATGAGACACGAGATGTGCGGCAGCAGCTGGGGGCAGCCCAGATTCTGCAGAGTGACCTCCTACCTATCCTTACCCAGCACTGCCAGGACAAGCCTCTATTTGATGCTGTTATCAGGTTGACACCACAGCTTTTTAAGTTTTACCATATGCCAACTTTTGGTGTTTGTGTCTGGTGAAGGAACTTAACTTCTGCCTCCATTGTTGTCTCCCCAGACTGATGGTGAACTTGACACAACCAGCCTTGCTCTGTTTTGGCAGTGTGCCTAAGGAGCCCAGCCTAGGACACCATTTTCTGCAGGTGCTAACTTATTTGCAGGCCTACAAAGAGGTGAGGCTTTCCTTCAGAGTCCCTGGGGCAGAATTTGAGACAGTGGGGAAGAAGCAGGTGAGTACTACTTAAGATCTATTCGCCTGTTTCTCAGGCCTTTGCCAGTGAGAAGGCATTTGGAGTCCTCAGTGAAACCTTGTATGAGCTGCTGCAGTTGGTGAGTGAGTCTTCACCTTGCAAGATACCATGGGACAGTTAGCATTTTTCTTTTTTTTTTGTTGTTTTTTTTTAGTTTATTTATTTATTTTGAGACAGTCTCACTCTGTTGCCTGGGCTAGAGTACAGTGGTGTGATCATAGCTCACTGCAACCTCGAATTCCTGAGCTCGAGTGATCCTCCTGCCTCAGCCTCCCAGGTAGCTGGGACTACAGGCGTGTACCACCACACTTGGCTAATTTTTCTGTTTTTGGTAGAGATGAGGTCTCGTTCTTGCTCAGGCTGGTCTTGAATTCCTGACCTCAAGCAATCCTCCCACCTTGGCCTCCCAGAGTGCTAGAATTACAAGTATGAGCCACCGTGCCTGGCCAGCACTTTTCACCCCTTCTGGGCAGAAGAGGAGATGTCGAGATATGGTCCCAGTTCTTGGGGATATAGTAGTCTAATCCATAGTCTCTGGCTGCCTCAGGACTGCTTGAATTCTTTCTTTTAACCCTGATTCCCTTCTATGCCTTGGTCTTCTAGCCAAGGTAGATGCTGGCTGCCTTCCATCTCTTCCTCTGACTCTCCTTCTGACTAGGGTTGGGAGGAACGGCAGGAGGAAGACAACTTGCTGATTGAGCGGATCCTACTCCTGGTCAGAAATATTCTCCATGTCCCAGCTGACCTTGATCAGGAGAAGGTGAGGGTCTTGAGCAGTCAGGTTCTTGGGCTTGGTTAGGTTGAGCTGCCCTTTTTAGGCTTTTCTGTCCTCTGACAAGCCTGGGGGAGGAGCCTTAGTCAGAGAATGTGTTGGAGAAGTTCTAGGCAGGGCACTGGAACTGAGTGAGCTCCCTTTCTGCCCTTACCACTCACCTGCTCAGAAGATTGACGATGACGCCAGTGTCCATGACCAGCTTCTCTGGGCCATTCACCTCAGTGGCCTGGACGACCTGCTCCTTTTCCTGGCCAGCTCACCAGCTGAGCAGCAGTGGAGCCTCCACGTGCTCGAGATTATCTCCCTCATGTTTCGTGACCAGGTGAGACCCTGGTCTATTGCCCCAGTCCCCTCCACTCGTGTACTTTTCTGCTGTGTGGCCAGAATTGCTCTTGGAATAACAGCTAAATTATTTCGGGAAGACAGGTGACAGGTAGAGTAGCCATGTCTTGAGTACAGTAGTCCCCCTCCTTATCTACCATTCCAGTTTCTGCAGATTTAGTTACCCATGATCGACCTTGGTCCGAAAATATCAAATGGAAAATTCCAGAAATAAATAAGTATTTAAATTCGCACACTGTTCTGAGTAGCATGATGAAATCTCACATCATCCCACTCTGTCCCACCTAGGATATGAATCATCCCTTTGTCCAGCATACCCACTCTGTATACTCTACCCCCGGCCCCCACCGCCCCCATTAGTCACTTAATAGCCATTTCTGTTGGCAGATCAAAAAACGTAGTGTGTATATATAGAGTTTGGTGCTATCTGCAGTTTCAGGAATCCACGAGAGGTCTTGGGATATATCCCCCTCGGGTAAGGGGGAACTACCCTACAGGGTCCTTTCAATAGTCCCGGTTTGTTGACTCTTTCTATCTCCAGTAGGGGCGAATTCAGGATAAGGAATGACTGTCCCGGTGACCCTGCCTTTCTTGTTCCAAATCTAGAATCCTGAGCAGCTGGCAGGAGTAGGGCAGGGACGTTTAGCTCAGGAGCGGAGCACAGATGTGGCAGAACTAGAGGTATTGCGCCAGCGAGAGATGGCAGAAAAGAAGACCCGAGCTCTCCAGCGAAGCAACAGGTGAGTGGCAGAGAGCTGTTCTACTCATGTTCTTGTTCTACACTATGGAATGCTGAGGGGTTGGGGCAAATTCTAAGATGGGTGATTGGATGACATTTTATAGTTTTAACTCACTCTGATGTGCTCATGAAAGAGAATAGAGATAAACCTTCCAGGAAATTGAAGAATCGCCTTGAACTTTTTTTTTTTTCCTGCAGGCATTCTCGGTTTGGGGGCTCCTACATTGTCCAGGGGTTGAAATCCATTGGGGAGAGGGACCTAGTCTTTCACAAAGGTCTTCACAACGTGAGTATTCTCACATCTGGGGTGGGAACATGGGGAGTTGCAGGGCCTAAGAAGGGTAATCATCTCTGGAGTTAAAGTTTCTCTGTTCTTAGGCTTAGAAAGTTGTTGACAGTAGGAGAAATAGAGCCTCTGGCATTAGCCACACTGTCTTCACCTATATCTTCCCTTAGCACCATAGGAGAGAACCTTCTAAGAGTTTATTCTGAGGAAACTGACAAGAGCTACAAGGGGAGGGTGGTGGTTAGGAGTAATTCTAATTCCCCAACCCCCCAGCTTCGAAACTACAGTTCAGATTTGGGAAAGCAGCCCCGGAGGGTGCCTAAACGTCGCCAGGCTGCCCGGGAACTGTCCACTCAGCGCCGCTCTGCCCTCAATGTGAGGCTCTTCCTCAGAGACTTCTGCTCTGAGTTCCTGGAGAACTGTTATAATCGGCTCATGGGATCAGTAAAGGTGAGAGCTGAGGAAGGATGTGGAGATAATCAGGGATGGAACAGAGAGGGGATGAGGCCAGTGGTGGGGAGGAAGCGAGGGGCCTGACCCTGGATGTGGACTAGTAGATGGGAAGGGTATAGGGACCCCTGAGAGACATTGAGGAGCCCAGGAGGGGAGTGAGTTATTGGTATAACAAAAGAGGCTCTGGAGAAATTGCCCCAAAGGAAGGGGAAGGGGAGAATAAGAGAGAGTTGGAAATTGTGGATCCCAAAGTATTATTACAGTGGTGTCCAGGGGCCACCCCATCATCATGGACAGGAGAAAGTTGGAAGCCCTGAGGTCATGGTGGTGTCTTTTTTTTGGATGTTAGGATCACCTACTTCGGGAGAAAGCTCAGCAGCATGATGAGACCTACTATATGTGGGCCTTGGCTTTCTTCATGGCCTTCAACCGAGCTGCCTCCTTCCAGCCAGCCTTGGTTTCTGAGACCCTCAGTGTTCGTATCTTCCACTTCATTGAGCAGAACCTCACCAACTACTATGAGATGATGCTGACTGACCGCAAGGAGGCTGCCTCCTGGGCACGCCGGTGAGTATAATGGTTATTGGAGTTGGAATGATCATGTCGGCCCGGCTTGGAATCTGAATACCTGAATTCTAAATGGTACTTTTTCCCTGATTCAGGGTTGAGGTAGGCAAGCTGGGGAGCAAGGACTGGCTGGGAAATCCTGTTTCTGATGGCACATTTTTTGGGGGTGGTGGGGTGTTGCTGTTTCCATGAGCCAGTGCCCTAAGTTTTCCTCCATTTCTCCTCTTTAACCTCAATTCACAGGATGCACCTGGCTCTAAAGGCCTATCAGGAGCTGCTGGCCACAGTGAATGAGATGGACGTGTCTCCGGATGAGGCTGTGAGGGAGAGCAGCCGCATCATCAAGAGTGAGGCCCTGGCCTGGCCCTCACCTCAGTCTTCCCCATCTCCTGACTAGAATCTCCTTCTCAGTCCCAACTTTATCCATCTGTCCTTTTCTAAGCCTTCTAGACTGGTCCTTCCATTTTCTTCTCTTCCCCATTCCTAGACAACATTTTCTATGTGATGGAGTACCGAGAATTATTCCTGACACTGTTTCGAAAGTTCGATGAGAGATGCCAGCCTCACTCTTTCCTTCGTGACTTGGTGGAAACCACCCACCTCTTCCTCAAGATGTTGGAGCGGTTCTGTCGCAGCCGTGGGAGCCTTGTGGTGCAGGTACTGGGCAGCCCCAGGACATAGAAAGAGCTGTGAGGGGAGAGTGAAGGACAGGGGGCCCTTTTTCCTCACGTTTTCCGCAGCTTAAGTTGATGTGTTAGAACTACTCTGAACTAAGAGGGCAAAGAGGTTTGTTGGTGTTGCCAGTATGAGTCCACCATAGTTTTCTTCTCGCATTAGATTAATCCCTGATCTGCTGTAAATGTCTTAATTCATTCAGGAAACATTTATTGAATACCTACTAAATGCCAAGTACATAGACCCTGGGGAGTCGTAATTTTAGAATTTAGTAATTATGCTTTAATATTTCCTCGGAAGCATTGTGGTGAGATGGAAAGAGCCTTAAATTGAAAGTTAGGTGGTCTGGAATCTATTGCTGTATTGGTTACTATTAGAATAAAGTCAAGGCTGGGTATGGTAGCTCATGCCTATAATCCCAGCGTTTGGGGAGGCCGAGGTAGGAGGATCACTTGAGGCTGGGAGTTCAAGACCAGCCTGGGCAACAAAGTGAGACCCTGTCTTTATAAAAAATTTTAAAAATAGCTGGATGTGGTGGTGTGTGCCTGTAGTCCCAGCTATTTGGGAGGCTGAGGCTGAGATAGATGGATTGCTTGAGTCCAGGAGTTCTAGGTTGCAGTGAGCTATTTTACACTCAGGGCTCTATGGTATTATGTAATAATAGGTGCTATCATTTATCGTGTGTTGACTGTGGGTCAGACACCATGCTAAGGTTTTCATGTAATCCTC